ATATTTCCAGAAATGTAAAAAATAATATTTATTAAAAGCTGAACGAATTCCGAACCCTTTTAAAGCAACTAAGTGGCTTCCACAATGCTCTGGCAACAACTTTTTTACACTTATTAAAGAAAAAAATTACCCTTCTGAAAATATTTCCACATATTTATAATTTTAAAATTTGTAAACACAAAAACAACTTAATTTACTGCACAAACTAACACTCAACCAGTTTGCATATTAATTACTAGAAAATTTTAGATATGTATAAATATTTAATGACGTGCAAATTTATAATGAAGTACAATATTTTTTCAATTAACCGCAAAAAAATATTGAAAAAATGCATAAATATAATAAAAATACATACGTGAATAAGCAAAAAATAAATGCAATGAAAACATGTCTTGGCATCAATATCAGTCATTGTGGTAATAAATTACTTAATTAAAAATGCATATGCACTCAATTAACTCCCATAAATAATGATATACTGCGTAGTTATTTTATAGACTATATGTACAAATACGAACATTGTACATAATATATATATACACATATATTATAAATATGTATAAATTAAAATACATTCATATTTAAAAAAAAAAAAATATTTTCTATTTTCTTATTTTATGAAATGCATTTGATTTCACAATTGTTTATTTGTATAATATCGACCAAACGGAAGTTTTGAAATTCTTATATATATTATAAACAGAACGCAATTCGTAAAAAGTTAACTTTTGTAGCGATAACAACGAAGAAAAGCACATAATCAGACATTGAGAAAACGCTGTAAATCTCATCTAACAATACATTCACTTCACGACTCAAATTCGAGTTTCACTGCCATTTAGGAGTTTACTTATTTTACCATACTCAATATTTTCTTACAACTTCAAAATCGTTTTGTCTGCTGATTTTAGCCACTCAAGTGAAAATTTTGATAATATCGTTGACTATTTCAAATGAAATTTTGTAGACATTCTATTCTCGCAAGAAGCTGCTGATTTGGAAGCTCGGAAATCAAAGTTAAGTCCTGTTTGGAAAACCTTCCTATTTGAGAAAATACTTCCACGAACTTTAGCATGGGTTACTCTTTAAGTCAGTGTTACAATCTCCGAGCAAAATGTGCACCCCTTTTTTTCCT